AGAATAAAACTCGATAGACAACAGTTTTTGCGGTTTTTGTTTTTATCATATCTTTTGATTTATAAATTGGAATAAGATGAATAAGATATATTTAGAAAGCTCTTGAAGTCTAATTTCTAACCCAATTAAAATCAGATTAAAATATTTTGTAGAATAAAAGATATGGACGAAATAGTGAGACGGTGTCAGTTTTGGATAGAGTTTGACATTTTATTCATATCTTTTTCGTTATAGCTCGGAATTGATATTATAATATATCATTGGAAAGATAATTTCAAGTTCTATCCAACCATATAAAATTTGGAAAAATAATATGGGGCACGAAAATAATATCTGTCTATCTTTGAATGTCTTTCAATTCGGATAGAAATTAGGATTTTCAAAAAAGGAGTTTTATTCAATTTCAAACTCTTTAATCTTATCTTTTAAAAAAGGATAATCAAGATATTTTAGAAACTTTTGATGCTTCCAATTAATCCTAATTGGTTTAGGAATTGGATTAAATAATTTGGACCCTCCACATGATCATTGGGTCGTAGGTAAGGTAGGCTTAGGTTCAGTTTGGGCTCGGTTTAATATTTTGGCCATAACTTATTCGTTATAACTCGGATTTGGGCTTATAATATATCGTTGGAAAGCTCTTTTAAATCCCCATCCAAATATTCAATCATTGGACCCAGATTATGTACCAAAATAAACGGAAATAAACATTTTTATAAAAAGGACACGAAATGAATGATTTTAAAGGACACGAAATGAATGATTTTAAATGACACGAAATGAATTATTTTGGGTTTAAAGGCACTAAAAGAGGAAAATAAGTTATGGTTTGGGGAAATGGGCTAGAAGTTGGTTTGGTTTATGAAATGGAAATATGGATTTAAGAACTCCAAGATTATTAAATACTCAACCCGACCAATAATGGCGGTGAAAGGTTGTTCATCATCGGGTTTGGTTTTGGAGAGACATTTTTAGGTGTCTACAGGTACTGCTTATGAACATTCTGATGCTGGTCTTCATTTTCCTGAATATTCATACCATTTATGGAGATCTGGTAAAGATATGATTAGGCATGAAGTTGTTTTCAACAAGGAAACTCATGCTATATGCTGCACATGCATGTACTTTAGTGAAATGGGATTGTTATGTTCTCATTCTCTTCGTGTATATCATTTACATTGTGTACCTAAGATTCCGGATGAGTATATTATGAAGCGTTGGACCAAGGCTGCAATGTGTACTCATACTACTGTTGATAAACCTTCTTCGAGAACTAATTTGGTGTCCACTACTGTTTGGAGGTCACAAACATTAAGGAAGTTTGTGAAGTTGGTAATTAGTTGTCAAAATTCTTGGTCTGCAAGAGCTGAAGTTGACCTCTATTTTAATATTTTAAAAGACAACGTTGAGAGTGTTAGGGGCACAATTGATTTCAATGAGGCTGCTGAAGGTATTGAAATTGTTGATCATGAAGTTAATGATCCTCCGAAAAAAAGGCTTGTTGGTGAAAGAAATGTACGGCCTAAAAGTACTGTAGAAAAAAAGTTTAATAAAGCTAGGGGTAATTGGAGGAAGAGAAAGTCATCATATACACCTTACATGAGGGCTAAAGGTCAAGCAGGAGTTCAGGTACTATTCAACATAAAGGTTTTCATATTTGATCATTTAGTTTAATACTAATGTTTATTTTCTTTGTTTTAGGAAATTGATGATAATGGACTTCCTGTTTCTTATGCTAATTCTATGTGTGATTCTAATGAACTGGTTATATTGAAAAATCCACCTTCTAAGGTAATATTTTTATATAAAAAAAAAATTCACAAATTTGTTCATTTATGTTTTTATGAATGATCATATTTTATGCTTTTATAATTTAGGTTGCTAAGAAGGCATCTTCTGTAGAAAAGGTTCTTTATTTTTCTAATGACTCTGATGAAAGTATTTTTAATGGTTTTAATCAGATATTATTTTTTTAATTTGTTTTGTTTTATTTTTCAAAATTATTGCCATTATGTAACTATAATTTTTGTATTATTGGTTTGTTGTTTAATTATATTTTTTTATAGGCTGCTGTTGAAAGTTCTTTTGGATCCAATTTATCTTTTGATGAAGATATTTCTGCTCTTGCTAAGGTTTATTTATTCTTTTTAAATGTCATTTATAATTTTTAATATGTATATTTATATTTATGATAATGCTTAATATTTCTTATGTAGGAGAAATATTTAAATGTTTCAAGTACTGCTCAGGTTTCTTCAAGTGTACCTCCAAGAAATGTTCAAGTTCCTCCAAGAAATGTTCAATTTCCTACAAGAAATGTTCAAGTTCCTCCAATCAATGTTCAATGTTCTTCATCAAATCTTTAATTACCTTCAAGAAATGATCAGTTACCACCAAAACTTGTTCAAATTCCTTTACCATCTTCAAGAAGAATTGAAGTTACAGCTCCTTCAAATGATGAATGTGTTCAAGGCACTCAACGTGGTGGTCAACATGTTTCTTATAAGTATGATAGGTTTTTAGCATTTTTTGATACTAATGCAGCTAAGAGGTTGGAAAAAAATAACAAGTAAGAATTTTCTTTGTTGAACTATTATACTCCAGTTTAATATTTTCTTGCAAGTGATGCAATTGAACAAATTTGATTTTGGTATTGAGCATATACTCTATTGGTAATGAACATTTTAAATGTTTTGTTTATTAAGTAATTTAAATTCAAGGATAAAAACAAATTTATAAAATTTGCAATTTTGATATAAACTATATCTAAAAAAGAGAGAAATATTGTTAATATTCAAATAACTATAAGAAACATCATATAGAATACTCTATGAAAAACATAAAATCTATATGTCTATATATATAAATTGATCATATTTATATTCGTAAATGAACATGTGACATTACTCCTTTGCAAACTTTCGTGCTTTTCTTCTATTTATCCTTGCTTCAGTGTTTTCTTCAAATAGCATCAACTCTATTACATATTGAATCCTTAGCTTCATAATTTGGTTCACCTGTTGAACAAAGTGAATAAGAATGTTTATTTTTTGTACAGTTTTTTAAATGAACATGATGTATTATATAATCACTAGTGGAAAAAAGGTTATCCGTAATGGGCAAAAAATGCCTATCCGTAACGGGCAACGTCCGTTACGTATGCTGCCGTTACGGGTGGCCTTTGTTATTTGTAACGGGCACCTCCCATTACGAATAATAGGTTATTCGTAACGGGCACCTAAAAAGTCCGTTACGAATAACCCCGTTATCCGTAACAGGACATGGTTTGCCAATTACGAATACTATATAATCAAATTTTAAAAAAAAAATCCAGCAAAATGCTGGATTTTCCACACTATTTTATCATTGAATGATAGATGTAGATATTTTAATACAAATATAGTATACAATTTATATTTCTTTAAAAAAAATACAATTAATATTAATAAACTAATAACTAAAACTTTAAAAGAACAGCTAAATTAAACCAAATCTAAAGTACACTTGTTTTACTGATTTGAAAAAAAAAATTACACTGAGATTTTATAATTGATTGTGGATTCAAAATAATTGATTTATTTATGTACATGCATACATGCTTTCAAGTTTCAACACCTTGTAATCCGGATTTATAACATACATAAAGCTCATGGAGGGGAAAAGAGAAGGACCTAAACACAGTCGATTACCTTGACTTTGATGATAGCATGATCAAGTAGAGGAAGTAGATTGGGATATGTAAACAGGGAGGAAACTCGGATCTCCTCCCTCACCAAGTCCAGCTGCTCATTGTTTTGATCAATACTTTCTTCATAGCATAAGTCCCATCATCTAAAAAAAGGTTCATTTCGAATTTACATCACATATTAACAAATCGAAATCAAACAGACAAAAAATTACAAATAATCACAATTTCAATACAAATCATACATTATTAACCATATTAAGATCAAAATTCCTCATAAGTCATAAACCCACAAATCAAAATTCAAATCAATCAAAAAATCACAGTAGCTATGACAACTGCCTCTAATTCACCTTGTTTACAGGTTGAACTAGAGAAGACCTTGTCTCCATGATTCCTAGTGACAGGAAGAGATTCCACATGAAGCCAAGACACTTCAAGAGTTTGCTCTCCTGTTAATTCCAGATCAACGGTATCAGATTTGAAAAAAGTTTGATTAGATCGACTGGAAGTTAATGAACACAGTTAATACTTAATTTTCTTCAAGAGAGAAAGAACAATGGATAATTTTTTTTTTCTTCTAGCTTGTTATGTCCAAAAAATTGAAGACGGTTGGTTACATCGTCTGAAGTCAGACCTTCTCTTGAGCATCTCAAACTCTCAAACACCTCCTCTATAGGAATTCTCTCCTGCAAAGCACACATGTTTAATCATTGAAAACATGAGCCCCTCATAAATCATTATTAGTGTCAAAACCATTTTTTTACAGAACGAATTAGCATAAGTTTAAGAAGCAAAGGGGGAATAAATCAATAAAGTATCCAACAGATCAATTCTCTATCTTACACCAGGCAGTGCTCCACAATGGACTCTCTCACTAGTAGAAAAAGGCTCATTTGCGTCGCTCATTTATAGTGTATTTGCGTCGCTTCTATGAGCGACGCAACTGCTCGCGACGCAAATGATTTAAAAGTCATTTGTGTCGCTCCTAGGCGCGACGCAAATAAGAGTCATTTGTGTCGCTCCTTTATAAAGGAGTGACGCAAATGACTTATTTGCATCGCTCTTTTATAAAGGAGTGACGCAAATAGCTGGTCTGATCAACTTCTTGTTTGTTATTTGCGTCACTTGTTTATATAGGAGTGACGCAAATGACAAACAAGACAATACAAAATTGCTTTATTTGCGTCACTTGTTTGTTTAATGAGTGATGCAAATGAGGTGATTTTTTTTTTAATTATAATAATTGCTTGTATATGTTTGTAGTACCTGTTTTCCTTGCTAGTGGTATAAAGTAATATGCTAACGCTAATAATTGAAATTAAAATGCAATATTATTGAATGCAAATGTAAATTTCGGCAGAGTATCAAAATTTTACAACTCAAAATTATTGATATCATCAACCAACACAAGAACAAAGACCAACCCAAAATGTTGGTACCCCAAATACATTCATTTCAAGCCTAAGAACTAAAACAAAAAAAAAGTCTAACAAACAAATGGATTTAGCTAAGTTTAAATCTAATTTCAACGTTGATCATGAAATAGTTTGACTAAATATCTCGAACCTCATTTATCTCCTCCCCATTATAAGGTATTGTTCTTGAAAAATCCTGTTAACACAACACAAAAAAAAAAACTAATCAATTCAAGAGTGTAGCCAATTTAAAATAAATTGATGAATTAGTAGTGAAAGATCTGACAACACATACTAACAAGATCCTCATTACTACGGTGATGTTGAACTGTTTCAAACATATAGTACACGACATAGTAGCCACATCTCACTTCCTCCCAATTTTTGATGACACTACACGCTCGCATCATAGCCAGAAAGTCAATAGACTCATTCAACTCATTTCAAACAAGATAAAACCTAAGCATGAAAAATAAGAATACTAATCATATCATTCTCACCACATTTTAAAGAGAAAAACATCTCGGATTAGAACTTAATTCACAATTTTAAAGAGAAAAACAAGCCCTTATATTCAGTTTTGATAAATTTATATCCATGATTTAAGGATCATACATATATTAAATCAAAATCAATCTTCTTCAATAATTCTTCCTGTAAATTCTGCAACTGCAACTATTACAGTAACTAATGGGAATTCTAGTAACGTATTATTCGAATTTTGCATTCTTCACAATGTTAGCATCATTCATTGACTCCAGAGTAAGATCATGATACCTTCGATTCGAACACTTGGTGATGAGGACTACTAAAGGTTATATTTCAGCTAGAACTCTACAGAGTTAATATACTGCTGGAAGGTTGGGTGATTATTTCATTATTTGATTAATAACATACACAAAAACTATGGACCAATTTAAGCTACAATTTCTATTAATCACGGCCCTAATAAGTTTAGTCCTGTTTTACCAAAGTTTATATGTCTAGCTTAAACATGTTCATTGTACCTGTCTTCTCGTACACAAAACAAAATGAAAATTGCAGTGCTATTATTCTCTTAAAATACGAAATGCAAAAACAGAATGCCATCAACTCATAATCACTTTATCAGTAAGTAGTAATTAACATCATCATTTCAATTTGAGGTAAACAATATCATACACAAAACAAAGGAATAACATTGTGTCATTATTTTGACTACTTCTCTTAAAATTCTTATTCGGTAATGAAGAAGTAGATTATGCCGCTTCAATTGTAATTTTTTTTTTAAAACCTTCAATTGTAATGTTAAATTACCTTTAATATGAGAGAAATGAAGTAAGAAATTAATTATTACCTCAAATTATAGAACAACTAAACCAGAAAATTCACTGAATAACAATAAGATTAGAGTTAATCTAAATATAAGAGAGAGAAACCTTGACATTATCCCTTGCAATTCACAAACAACTCAACAACAAAATAGCTATCTGTAACAAATTTCCCACTACACTAGGCTAGACCACCACACTCACCATCAACCACAAGCACCTGCTGCATACCTGCACCAAGTAATTCACTAATCTAACTTTATATCTAGATACAAACACTCGATTAAACAAGAAAAAGTCAATATAATTAAGCAATACTCTAGAAGTAATCTGATATAGAAACAAATACTTTATTTTTATAATGGAAAATCTACTAATTTTGTAATAAGAATCTATTATTACACTAAATTAATAATCTGACAAAATTCCAATCAACATATAACAAACTAAACAGAAATTCAACTATAACACCAAATTAATTTTTTAATTTCACGCCAAAATCAATACACACTCATGAAATTAAATTTTGACCCTACATCATCTACTAAGTTAAATTCCTTATAAAATTAAAATCATTTCGCAACTCTAATTACAGTAAAATTAAAAACATCATATAAATCAATAGAACAAAACGATAATTTAATAAAATAGTTTAAATCAATCGAAATTAAATCATTTCGCACTTCTTATTGCCTAAAACGATAATTTCGCACCTCTTATTACTGTCAACCATCTCCACTGCTTCCCCTGCTAACCATCAACAACAACACCAACAAGCAGCAATTCCTTGCTAGCCTCGATGTAGAGTATTTCATCTCGACTATCAGCGGTTTTAATAGTTCGAATTTCGTGGGGGTTTTGGTCGATTTTTGCTCAAAAATAGGGTGTTTTGCCTCGGATTTGCTTGAAAATGGGGGGTTTTGGCTTGGATATTCTGGGGTTTTCAATTACAGGTTGAATTTATTGATTTTGGGGTCAAATTTGTTGGTTTGGGGTCGAATTTATCAGGGTTTTGCTGTTGAATTCGCTAGGGTTTTGCAGTACGAACGACAACAAGGCAGCGCTGGAGATTCGGCTAGTTAGACGATTTTCTTGAGGTTTTGATGTTGAATTTTAGGGGATTTTTCAGTTGAAGCTGCTAGGGTTTTGAAGTTCGAACGGCGACATGGCAACAAGAGTGTTTTATATTGAATGTGAGGAAGAGTTGAGTGGACTGTAATTGTAATAGTCATTTGCGTCACTCAATAAAGAAAGAAGTGACGCAATTTACTCACAAAGCTATTTGCGTCACCTGTCAATAAATGAGCGACGCAAATAACATTATCTTTTGCGTTTTTTTTATTTATGAAAGCGACGCAAATATGAGTAAGCTGAAATATATCAGACTTTTGCTTCGCTTTGTAGTTAATGTGCGACGCAAATTACTTATAGTGAAGCTAAAATGTATTATTTGCGTCATTTGTTTCTACGAGTGACGCAAATAAGGTGACGCAAATGAGCATTTTTCTACTAGTGTCTCTACCTCATACTTAGTGATACAAACTGACAGCTTTAAGGCATACATAATTTTATCTTTCACTGGAACCTACACCATATTATCCCATAACATGAGCCAGACAACTTTTTTAAATAGGACTTGAACTTAAAATTAAAAACTAACACAACATTGCAGAACCTACATCACAATATGCAGGAAATGGAATCCATAGTCCATATTCATGAGACAAGACCCTCTAATTAGTAACTATTGCAGTAATGCTTATGTATTTATATTATTAAGGTACTTAATTCTTCCTGTCTTCAAAGCCTTGACTGAAGTACTATCATACCAGTGTTCTTCCTAAAGGCTACTTAACATCAAAATTTGACCGCGAATTAAATCCTTCCTTTGACCTTCAAGCACACCGAAGCAGGAACTAGCTATTACTCTATTAGCCTTCATCAATGAAGGCATCTCAACAGTTTGTTTTATTCCCAAAATCACGTAATTCATACAATATCAACCTCACACAGTAGGAGAGGCATTGCTGCTGGCCATATGATCTGTAAAGCTAGAACAAATCAATTAGTTAAATTGATTCCTATTATTTTTCACCAATTCATCGAATAAGGGTGAGTAACAAAAGCAAGCACTCATTACCTTAGAGACAAAAGGCATTGACTATTGTCACCCAAAAAATATGCAACCAAACACTTCCTGATTTCATAGCTCTGTATATATACTAGTTGCTTGAAACGACTAATGACATTTCCTCTCCCTTCTTCCCACTCCTTCCAGCATAAGAACACCACCATTATTCAATCAGAAATAAGTACTCTCTAATTCTCATAATTATTTTTATATCACACCTCCAATTCATTTTTCACAATCACAATAATAGCGCATTTGTTGAATTGTTCAAAGTACTCAAATTCTATTAAAAGCTCATCACATCAACCAAATAAAGAAAATATATCACAGAGTGACAAAACACAATTCTGAATTTCAGATTATACAAAATCTACTCAAATGAATTTTCAGCCAAAAATAAACAATTATTCAAATGAAAACTAAACCACAAACATTAGAAAAATCAGTTAATGCAAAAAAACTACTCAAAATGAAAATTCAGCCGAAAAAAAAAAAACAATAATTATAACAAATATTAGAAAATTAGATTACAAAAAATAGACTCAAAATGTGATGAAAGATCAGCCAAAAAAACAATTATTCAAATGAAAATTAAGCCACAAATATTAGAAAATTCAGGTTATATAAAATTTACTAATTCAGCCAAAAAAATATCAATTAAAATGAAAATTAAGCCACAACAAGTAGAAAAATCAGATGATTCAAAAACTAATTAAAATAAAAGGAAAAATAAAAATAGAAACCGAGTACCGTGATTAGGGTCATCAGGAACAAAGGCGATATCAAGTAGAAAAACACCAGGATCAATCGAAAGATAAACTCTCTCCCATTCAGAAAGCAAGTCATCGGACTTCGCCGGAAGAGTAGTCAACAATGGCGACATTGACAACGACAAAGCGCAGTAGTTCGAAAATAGAGGCTGTGAAATTGAAGACAACTCGCAATTCAAATTCGACATTGACAACGACAATGAAAGCGCAATAGTTTTTTTCTCTAAGATTGATGGAGGAGAGGAGAGGAGAGGAGAGGAGAGAAGGACGGAGAGGAGAGAGAGAGGAGGAGAGGAGAGGAGAGAGAGAGAGAGAGAGAGAGAGGAGAGAGGAGAAGAGGAGAAATGATGGCTATTAGGTGAAACCCTAAAAAGCCAAGTAATGGGCTCCTCTATAAGTTGGGCCAAGTTATGTGTCATATAGTATTTGTAACGGGAAAAATAGTGTCTGTTACGAATACTTATTTATTTGTAACGGGCACTTATTTGTCCGTTACAAATACATACGTATTCGTAACTGACATTATTTCGCCCGTTACAAATAAATAAGTATTCGTAGCTGACACTATTTTGCCCGTTACGAATATCTTAATTGTAACGGGCAAAGCTTTGCCCGTTACAAATAGCCTGTTACGAATGAGATTTTTTCCACTAGTGAATTGAACATTTATGATACTTACATTGTTTGGTTTTAAATCACAAACCCATTTCTCATTAGGATCACCAGTGAAGGTTTCCATGTGCTTCATAATGTATACTCCACAGTTTGTATAATCATCGTTGCCACGCCATTTCATCTTCTCCAAAATAATTTTGTATTCTTCAATTCTATCAGCATCTTCTTATCCAAGGTGTTTCATGTACCCTGCCAATCCTTTCAACTAATAAAAGCAATAGTAAAACTTAATTAGAAGTTGGTTGTGTGTAGAATGCATGAACAATTAGGAACTGAAAAATGATCATTTAGCCAAACATAAATGAACATATTTACTCACCATAATTTTTGGTTGCTCTTCATACTTCGCTTGGATTGTGACATGTTGTGGTAGTTTCTTATTGTCAATAATATGAATTTTCTCTTCTATATGATTGACGCACAAGAGAAAAAAAGGTTGAGAAGTTGATACCGGGAAGAAGACCTGAACAAATATTAAATTATTATTGATCATTTTACTAATCATAATTGAACATTTTTATTATGAATTTCATGGCAATACCTGTTTGTATCCAACAATGCTTTCAATCTTATTCATCTTCAACTCATTGTCAATTCTTTCAATGAATGCATTAATTCTTGTTTTCATGTATGAGCCTTCCTGACAAACTCTATTCGTACACATAATGTGCTGTTGAAATAGAAACAATCACATACAAAATTAATGAAAATTTTGCAATTATATATCATAGGAAAACTGAAACAATCATATATAACAACACTTGTACTATAAAAAAAAAAAAGTAAAACTAACATGAAGCATTATGGAGAAGTAAATCTTGCTTTTTGGCTTTTTATGATTAAGAATTATTGCCCATCCATCTATCACACAATTTGTTACTTCAACATCATCTCCAAGTGTTTTCATTTCTTTTCTATTGATGAGATTCAACCCATCATAGTATAAAAGAACGCTGCAATATGAACATTTAGTAATATAGATGTGAACATATTTTAAGATAATATATTTCACTTTAATTAAATTTTTTTAAGTAATTACCTTTCATCTTTATCACTGAGAGCAAAGTATAATGCAATTTGGTTCATTGTCTTCTCATCTTTGAATAGATCTTTGTACTTGATCATGTACGGAGATCGGAAAGCAAGATGAATTGTTTGCTTTTTACGTTGTGGTCTTGACGTTCAATAAATGTAGTATAGTTATATTAAGAACATTAAATGAACATTTAAATGTATATAAATAAATTATAAATTATACCTTTCAACTTTCTCCTTTCCAGTCTTTTTACTCTTTTCTGCAATTGATTTTTTCTTTTCATCATTCCTGATCATATCAAACAACAAAAATGAACATTTAGTTATCAAAAAATGTTCATTGTTATTTAACATTGAGAACAAATGAATATTTACTTATCTAAAAATGTTCATTACTATTTATAATTGTTTACCTGTCCATGAGTTTTGTTGATGAATCTTTTTCCTTGTTTTCTCTGAAACATCAAAGGTAGTTAGTAGGTATAGAAATGAACAATCATACATTATCATATGTTCATTCTCAATAACCTTTTGAATATAACCATCATTTCTAAACATTCTTATGTTGGAATTTTTAAAAACTTTAATTACATAATTATAATACAACAATTATACATAATACTAATTGTTAGCAAAATAAATTACCATAACACAAATTGTTCTTAGCAAAATAAATTACCATAACACAAATTGTTCTTAGCAAAATAAATTACCATAACACAAATTGTTCTTAGAAAAATAAACAGTACTTCTTCCTAGTAAAATAAAAGACCAGTCTTACTAATTACAAATTTAAATTATTTTAAAGATACATAGCCACTGAATACATCTTGAAGTTTATGGTGAGGTATTCATATTACCCCTGTCCTCCTTGTTTGTCTTTTTCAGATTCTTCATTTTTTCCTCCTGTGCTCAATTCCAAATCAATACCATGAGGAGGTGTTGTAGAATAACCCTTCTGTGGATCACCTAAAAAATAAATATTTTTTGTTAGAAATGAACAATTTACTATTTTGTTTAGTTTCACTGAAAATACATTTAAGTATTTGTAAATGATCATTATAATTATTATACTACCTCTGGTCCAAATTACTCGCAACTTTGGGGTATTATTTGTGAGATATAAAATATTCCAAAGTTGCGAGTAATTTGGACCGGAGGAAGTATATGAACATCTTTTACCTGAAGCTGAACTTCCTTCATTAGCCTTTTCTGCTGTTTTTGTACCAGAGGCTACGTTTCTTTCTTCTGCACAATATGAACAATTTATTTTATAAATTCAAATATTGAAAATGAACAATTATGATTAAATACAACTATAAATGATCATTATATTTATTATATATTAACATCTTTTACTTGAGGCTGAACTTTCTTCAACAACCTTTTCAGATGTTTTTGTAGCAGAGACTACATTTTTTTTCTCCTGTAAAATAAGATTAATTTATTTTAGAAATTCAAATATTGAAAATGAACAATTATGATGAAGTATAATTGTAAATGATCATTACACTTTATATATATGAACATCTTTTACCTGAATTTGAACTTTCTTTCACAGCCTTTTCAGCTTCTTTTGTACCAGAGGCTACATTTTTTTCTTCTGTAAAATATATCAATTTATTTTAGAAATTAAAATATTGAAAATAAACAATTATGATAAAATATAGTTGGAATTTGAAAATGAACATTATAACTATTAATTATGAACATATTGAACCTGGAATATATTTTTTTTCATCGGCCTTTCCAATTGATGCTGAAGTAGATGCTTGAATTGGGGGTTCAAGAATCAATGCCTTTGTTGTAGATGTAGAACCTGTACCTATTTTCAACTAAATTTTGTTAGGGAAACAGAAATTTTTAAATAAAAGTGATAACATGATGCTTAAAAATGAATTTAGTTTATACTTACCAATGGCTGGAGATGGTGGAGTTAAATGTAAAGTGAATGCTTTTCGTACATCATAATTCTCCTTCCAGTTTGTAGTTTTGATAAAATTAGCTGCTTCCATGAGATCTTTTTCAATTTGAGCAATTGCATTTAGGAACTCCTCTGATTCATAGAACTCTTCATCTTGGCTTAGAGTTGATTGCTCCCTTGTAGCCATTCTTCCTAAAACTTCATCAACCTTTCTAACCAAATGATTTTCTGGAAATATTTCCTTTGCCTTCATCAATTTTCCAGAAAGTCTTGAAAGGTTTGTACTTGTCTCTTTCACTAGGCTAACAAAATCATTCATGAAAACCTGTATTGTAAATCAAATTATAAGACTTACCAAAATAAATTTATTATAAATAAACTGAACGTTTATGTCATTATAATTGATCATTTTTTTTACCTCTGGACTTTCTTCCACTTGTACAGCAATTCTAGGTAAGATTTTACCTCTACCAAACCCTAGTTCATACTCTATTTTCAACCTCTCAAGAACCATGTGTCTGTTCCAAACAGATATAATGGAGAATGTTCTTGGAGGCCTTTTGTCTAACCTTTGAACCCTATCAAAATAAAACAGCTACAAGGCAAAACAGAAAATGAACATTATTAAAATTACAAATGAACATTAATTATTAAAGGAATGATCAGGTTTCACATTATAAATGAACATTGTATAAAACCATTTATTACCATAAAAAATTGCAGAGGGCCTTTGTAGAACCCCTTTCCTTTCTGCTTTCTCCAATCAACATGACTTTTGATTAGTGAATCAAACACATACTAACACCAATTTAAATTTCTTATTTTTTCTTTGTCCATCATTGAAAAAAGAAACTTGAAGTGACATTGATTGTTTGATATGCAATTCATCATGCAGTTCACAGCAACTGCTAAAAAATTGGTTATGAAATGTTCACTTGGTGGTCTATTGTTCTTGAATTTATCATGTATGTATCCATTTACAATCTGTAAATTACTTTATCAGACTTTGCCTCAGCAATTGGAATTTCTCCTGTAGGCAAGCCATAAACAACCCTCACATCCTCTACCTCAACTTGAATTTTTCATTCTTTGGCAATTCAAAATTCTGACTGCTCTCCTCAAAACTATCCAATACCCAATTACAGAACTTCTGATCAAGTTGTGGTAAAATGATCTTAAGAAGTGATCCTAACCCTATGTATAGGTAAAATCCGATTTGGGCCAAGTTTAGTATTTTGGCCATAACTTCCTCATTATTCATCGGAATTGGGCTTATAATATATCGTTGGAAAGGTCTTTTCAAACCCCATCCAACTGCACCATTATTGGACTCTTATTATGGAACAAACTAAACTTAAATGCACGTTTTTCATAAAATAGAGTAAGAAAATAAAAATTTTCAAAAACAAAAAGAAGAGATATTTTAATAAAAGCATCCTCATCACTAGACTTTCACACTTTCGCTTTGTTCGATAATCAAATGACATGAAAGGTATTCATCACTGGGTTTGGTTTTGGGGGGACACATTTAGGTGTCTACAATCACCTATTTTGACGATGTCCTTAGCGTGCCGAGTATTTTTCTCGGACGGAGCATTCATCACCGTTTGATGACGAGCCCTCTCTATGGCCATCAAGCCGGTATTCTCGTCTTGCAGCTTATGGAGATCTGTCCAGGCCAACTCGAGCTCACGTCTTTGCCTCAGACGCCAGTCCCGGAAGGCAGAGCCTAAGGAGAAGCTGCGTACATAACGAAAAAATTAGTGAAGGAAAACTAAATAACAAAAATTTGGCCAAGTAAATTGGTTGAAAAGCTAAAAGACTACCTCATCACAGTTGTTGATCATGGGACCGAGGTGCCCATCATGGATACCCCAGTATTTGTCCTGAGTCTCAACCAGGACGACCTTTTAGATAGCGTCCCGGACGGTCTTGCATTTGGCCCCAGTTAAGGAAGAACCAGGGGGACAAACGTCCAAATCCTCAAAAGTCTCTGCAAAATAAAAACAAGTTAGAACTCTGAAGAAAAGAAAAAGTCAGAAGGGAAAAGGACGAAAAGGTATAAGTACCTTCTGAGAGATTTGCAAAGCGCGGACGCCCCTCTAGAGGAGGCGCCAGCTGAGTCTGCTCTGCTGCCTTGAGCGGAGAGGGAAACTCCCCTTCAGTTTGGGAACCAGAAGGCTTAGTTCCCAAAAACTCAACATGTAAAGCTGAGTCCTGATCCACTGTGTTGTCCGGGGTCGGTACATCCCCTCCGTCCTTGCGGACGGGTTCATTTTGGGCCACCTCGAACGAAGGTGGCTCCGAGGACTTAGAGTCCCCACTAGGTTCCAGCTTTAGGTTGCACCGATGCAACCCACAACCTAGCCCTGGCCGCTGGCGTTCTGGACGCTGAAACCTTGCGAGCCTTGGACGACTCATCATCCTTTAAAGCGGGCGCCGACCGCTTCTTCGCATGTCTAGGGATAACTGAGTGAAAAAACAAGAAAGAGTTTAGTTAGAAACCTCTGTCCAAATAGCATTGAAGAAAAGAAGCATGAACACAAATTTATTCGGCACAAGTACTTAAAGGACCTGGCCGAGTAGAATTGCACCAAAGGTTATTTAATTCTAGTTTGCTCGGCCAAGGTTGCAATGTCAGCTAATATATTAGCTGTTCGAGTAGGGTTATTGCAAGAGACCAACAAGCTAAATTCATTCGGCCAGAAGTGGAAAACGTGTAGAGGCCGACTCAAGTTAAAACAAAGTCCACTAATGTATAGCAAGTCGGACAGACAAAAAAAACAAAGAAAATATATTCAAGGCAAAGAGAGCAGTTGTACCCGTTTTTCCGCCTCATATTGAGCTTGTAGCGCTCCATGTCAAACTCGTTCATGTCCATGTCTCCCCTCTGTACTAGGTTGAGTTTGACCGCGACTTCCTTTGAAAATAACAAAGCATTGGGAGTTAGAAAAATTTTTAAAGAAAGAAAAGGACAATGCGTACAGCGAAGGTCAACCTTGGGAATAATTCCTAAGCAGGCCAAAGGAGGACATAAAGATAGAATCCCTTAGCCAGATCACTAAAGGAATCCACCGTGCAATGACAGATACCCGGCGCTGTAGGCGTCGTTCGAAGTGCGCCTACGTTAAAGCATGTGTGAATATGCTTGGCACTCATAGAAAGTGGGAATTGACATTACGATTAGGGACAACGATTAGGGACAAATAAAGTAGGGAGCCGCCAACAAGTTTTTAAGGAACTTGTAAACTGTTCACGGATCATAAAAGGCAACCACGATAAAGGGACAACGATAGGCAACAACGGTTGACCCGTAAAGGTTACACCCCATTCATAATCCATGAGATTACTAACTCCATACGGTTCGGAACCACGAAAGGAGGATCGGGGATGATGGTACGAAGTGAGTCATGGAGCCACATTCGCCCGTATTGGCCTCTACTCGATTCTTATAGTAAAAAGGGATTCCTGTGATCTCAAAGGCATGCAAACAAAGATTCAATTTGCTCCAAACAATTATTATGCTAAATTGGTTTAATATTAATGCAACACATAATTCTAAAATATTGTGATCACTTGATTAAACAACAAGATTAAAAAGGAACCTAAACCGGTTGTCTAAATTATCTTATTAGGCGTGATTTTCAATTACATATTCCCTTTAACATGCAATATGGTGATCAAAATAATACTAGAATAAGCATTAATATTGGAAGCAATTTAACAATAATAGCGTTAGTCAAATCAAATAATAAAATAACCTAATCATGATACTAGCAATAAGAAAATAAAATAAGAGTAATTAAATTAATTAATTACTCACATTCTGCACGTTCCTTTAAATTGCTACATCATGAATAAACTATTAGTAACTTCAATAAAAAAAAAAAATCAAATTGAAACAATTAAATTAAATAAAAAGTAGAGTTGATTTGGTCCAAACCCTCAGTTAATTCTACCTTTCACACCTTGATTTAAGTATAGAATTTCAGGTAAAGTATGAACTCCTTGGAGTGCTTAAAGGAAGAAATAGTAAAAGAATGGGGATGCTAGTGTTTAGGCTAAAGAGGGAGAAGAGAATGATTTGATGATCAAGCTTGTTTATGATTGGAAAAGGGATGATATGACCTCTATTTATAGAGAAAAAAGAGGGGTCGAAGAATTAAGAAAAGATAAGAATTCGAATCGGATAAAACTCTTGCGATAGACAGCAGTTTTTGCGGTTTTTGTTTTTATTATATCTTTTGATCCAGAAATTGGAATAAGATGAATAAGATATCTTTGGAAAGCTCTTGAAGTCTACTTTCTAACCCAATTAAAATCAGATTAAAATATTTTGTAGAATAAAAGATATGGACAAAATAGTGAGACGGTGTCAGTTTTGGATAGAGTTTGACATTTTATTCATATCTTTTTCGTTATAGCTCGGAATTGATATTATAATATATCATTGGAAAGATAATTTCAAGGTCTATCCAACCATATAAAATTTGGATAAAAACTATGGGGCACGAAAATAATATCTGTCTATCTTTAATGTCTTTCAATTCGGATAGAAATTAGGATTTTCAAAAAAGGTGTTTTATTTAATTTCAAATTCTTTAATCTTATCTTTTCAAAAAGGATAATCAAGATATTTTAGAAACTTTTAGATGCTTCCAATTAATCCTAATTGGTTTAGGAATTGGATTAAATAATTTGGACCCTCCACATGATCATTGGGTCGTAGGTAAGGTGGGTTTAGGTTCGGTTTGGGCTCGGTTTAATATTTTGGCCATAACTTATTCGTTATAACTCGGATTTGGGCTTATAATATATCGTTGGAAAGCTCTTTTAAATCCCCATCCAACTATTCAATCATTGGACCCAGATTATGGATCAAAATAAACGGAAATAAACATTTTTATAAAAAGGACACGAAATGAATGATTTTAAAGGACACGAAATGAATTATTTTGGGTTTTAAGGCACGAAAAGAGGAAAATAAGTTATGGTTTGGGGAAATGGGATAGGAATTGGGTTGATTTATGAAATGGAAATATGGATTTAAGCACTCCAAAAATTAAATACTCAACCCGACCAATAATGGCGGTGAAAGGTTGTTCATCATCGGCTTTGGTTTTGGGGAGACATTTTTAGGTGTCTACAGGCGCCCCTCTCTATATACTCGCTTGACCCTAAAATAGTCAAGCTAATCGACGTGGTCCGGGTGAATCGGGGGCGGGGCGGCTGGTGATACCTTCTTCCAAGTTGGAGGGGAGGGGAGTTGAATTTGTTGATCTTTTTGTTGAACTCCCGGTTCCCCGTCTAGATGAGGTAGAACCTATGCTTTTAGTCGCACCACTTACACGTCTTGAGCAAAGTCACCATGTATTCCGTCCGGGTGCTCAGAACAAACCACCAGTCCGAGTCCACCTCCATCTTTGTCATATTGTGCATGGCGTAGAAGACGGGAAAGTTGGGGGTGAAGCCCATCCGAAGACAGGTCACCAAGTAACCAAAGCTATCTAATATTCGTCCAGCAGCTCTTAGACGAATGGGTGAAGAGGAAAGCGAAGGCCGACTTCAAAGGCCGCCTTATATACATTGAAGCCCCAGCAGATCTTCTTGGGATCATCCGAGGCGGCGATCGAGCCGGAGGTTTGAGGGGGAGTTATTGTAAAACCTTCACCCAACATGAGGAATTCTTCCCATTCCTAGAACCTATTGTTTAGGTACGCCAAGGCGACGTGCCCTATCATGCAGCCGTAAGGGCTGCCGAAATTGTTCTCTTCTTCTCTGCCTTGGCGGCAGCATTTTCAGCCTGCTGTTCGGCCGGCTGAGGTTCAGGGTCCCTTGCTGAACCAAAGTCTTGAGATAAGACCCTGTCTAGCTCGTCCGCCTCAGCGGAACTTCCTCCGACCGAGCCCTACCTTGGCTTGACCATCACTGGTTCTTAAGGCACCAAAGGGGCTTTGCCCTTGTCTTTTGCCCCAACCCCAGAACTATGACTTCTAAATGGAACGGGGCGGGGAGAGTTAGTGGGTTCGACAATCACTATTCCAGTCCTAAGCCTGGCCGACCTAAGAGCTTGAGAGAAAGGGGGAGCAAGAGTTCGCCCGGCTTCAGTAGAAACACACAACTAATTTTGGTATATTTCCTGAGCAGTCACCGAAGACTGTGGCCGATTTTTGCCAAATAGAATATGGTGGTGGTATAATGACTGCTCAAGCTGATCTTGTTCAGATCGACCTGTAACCATCCTGGGAGGAGAGTGGGGCAAAGAAGTTGGTAACTCGTCCGCTCCAAGGATCGAGTTAGCAAATAAAGCGCGGTTTACACTCGAACCCCTCCTAGAAGTGGAGGTGCCTAATTGATTCTGGCGCTCTTCAAAAGAGGTAGTTACCTTGACCACCAAGCACGCACTACCATCAATAGTAGTGGTGGTGTATGTGTTTGTGTTTGAGGGGTTAGTTCCCATGTCTGAGTTATTCGGACCATAGGAAGCCAAAGGTTGAACAAGAGTGCCGTCAGGATTTCTGGTGGCATGGAGATCGTGCGTTTGCCTTGTACCCGACATGTTCGGCTGCAGGGACACAGAAGAGTAGGTGGGGTGAGTTGCTATGCACTAGAAATGGACCCACTCCATAAAGACGAGGACCTGTCCCCGTCCATTCTAGATTCTTCAGTCCCAGGCGAACAGACGGCCTCATGAGCAGAAATGTACGAGGCCGAGTGTTGATCCAGGATGTTTGAAAAATAAAGCAAAAATTGAAAAGAAAATTAAAGAAGGAAGAGTATTCGGTTACCTTCGTCCTAGTAGAAAGTTGAAAAACTTGAAGAGTGCTTGGGAGGTCTTGGTTGAAGAAAGGCCAGAAAACTCAAAGTCTTGAACGGAAAAACTCGAATGTGCAGTGGAGCTCTCGAAGAATCCGGGAAGAAGTAACTTTCTCTCTCTAGAAGCTCCAACTTCTCTCTAGAAAGCAAGGAAATCCAAAGTAAAAAAATGAAGGTCAAACCCTTGTGTAGGGAATATTTCAAGCATTATCCCAAACTTGAACCCCACTGTGATCATACACTTAAGCATGGTGGCGTCCAAAGGGAAAGAAGCTAGAGCAAAAGAGTCGCCAATTAAGTTTTAGGAACTTGTAAACCGTTCACAGTGTGAAGGTTACACCCCTTAACGATCCAGCTCCAATAAGTCTGGAACCATGAATGGAAGTTCGGGGATGAAGGTACAAATCCAACCTAAAAGAGATTAAATCTGCCCTAATAATAGGCCTCTACTTTATTCTACTTGTATTCATGTGCGCTTTCTGACTAACATGCAATCATTAGGTTAACCCTAAACCTATGTAATCTATGTTGGTTGAATATTAATGCACTAATAAAACTATTATTGGTAATCACTTGAATTATAATAATATTACCCTAAATAAGATTATTAATTATCTTATTAAGCGTAATTACAAGTACAAATTCCCTTTAAACATGCATATAGGTGTGATCAAGAAATAACAATAATAAGCATCTAGCAACATAATAATAATCGTAATAATTATAATCAAAATAACAATCATAATTAAAATAATCATGACCATAATCATATCAACGCTAAAGCATAATAATAGCAAGATCCTAGGCATGATACTAACAAGATTAATAACAAACCTTGGCATGTCACTAAACATCAAAGATCAAAGCTTTAGCCCTAACATGATATTAAGAAATAAATAGGAAGCATCATAGAAATCATAATTGATATTAGAAACTTAACTATTACTCTAAACATGATACTAGGAAGCAATAAAACATCCTAACATGAATTCTAGAAATCAATAAAACAATATAAGCATGATTTCTATAATAATAAAACAATTAAAGTACTTACTTCGATGCGTCGTACCTCTTTCTAATAACAAAATACATGCGTTAGTAACTTCAAGGAAAAGAATAAACAAAACAATTAAATTAAATAATTGAAATAGGGATTTGGGACCAAACCCTCATAAATATCAAACCTTTCACGTCTGGGGCGAAGGCAATTTCGAACTTAGATAGGTGTGTCTTGTGCTAATGAGTGCGAAATTGTGTTTGTAAAAGGTTAAGCTAGAAAGAGGAAGAGAGAATAAGCTTTAGCTTAGAGAGAGAAGAATTAGAGAATTCTGGCTATAAAAAACGGAGGTCCAAGGACCCTATTTATAAGAAAATAGTCCAAAAACATTAGAAAATACTTCAAGTTCAATGCGGAATAAAACTACATCCTGGTGCGGCGACAGAGTGTGTGGCCACGTAATATGGTTGTGGACCTCATGCAGCAGTTTGGTGGAGTTTTGGTGGAGTTCTTCTGGGACACCACCAACACTTTTCACTTTCCTTGGGGCGAGATGACTGTCACCCCTGCTGACTTTAGTCTTATTTCGGGACTGGAGTTTCGTTCTGCTGCGCTACCGTTTGACGGTGCGATCACCGTATTTTCTCCGGAGGTCGAGGAGTTGTTGGGTCTGATTACTATTCAGGCTTATGCCGAGGTTTAGCTGACACGACTTAGTTCCAGGGGTATCCGCCGATCCACTCTTGTGATGGATTTTCAGGATGGTGCGACCACCCGTGAGCAGCGGGTGCACATCTTTGTTCTCATTTTATTGTCAGGGACCTTTTCTCCTGACAAGGGTAGCCGAGTACTCCTCTGCTACCTACATGCTCTCCGCGACCTTCACCTGGTCGGGACTTATGGTCGGGACTTATGACTGCCAGCTTGGCCTATGCTGATTTTTTGCTTGGCTTGCGACACTTATGTCGTCACACGGCATTCACGGGGATATTGCACTTTCCAGCTTTTGGAGAATTGTAGAGGTATACTTTATCCCCTTTTAAAGTTAGCTCTAGATTCTTATTAGCATTCGCTGATCTTCCTCTGTTTTTGTAGATTTGGTTCTACGAGTACTTTCTATCGCTGTCGCCGGCGAGACCTTCGCCTCGCGAGCTCCCCGTTGGCGGCTGTTGGGGAGGTTGCATCAGTAATGAGGCCGCTACTCCCCGTGTCCAAGATTTGATCCTCTCGGTATGTTCTTTTGGACGCTTGTATTTTGTATTGCCTTTTTTAGACACTACTTTTGGCCTCTTGTCCCGAAAGGAAGTGCGATGATGTTACAAAAATTCATTCTTCATGCTAGATCAAAGTTGAAGTGTTTATGGACTATGAAAAGAATTATGAAGTAAGTTAAACCCATATTTGAGATCAATTTATCTTAAAGCCTTGTCCTATTACTATTTAGGCCTAAAACATGTTCATACATGTTTAAACTTGATTAATAACGGGCCCAAATGCATCGAATACAATGATTGGATCCAATGGAACCTACATTGTTGAAAAACCGAGCCAAACAGATGAACCAAACATCCAAATCTTGTGTAAGGCCTATACAGATGGATAGCCCTTTCAAAGAGCTTTCCAACGGTACATTATAAGCCCAATTTTGAGTTAAAATGAAGAAGTTATGATCAAAACACTAAACCGGGCCTTAAAACCGACACCCTTGCACTCCAACGGCCTTTTCTTTTGATCAATAAAATATTTTAACCTAATTCTAATGGAATTGGAAAGTATACATTTAGAGCTTTCCAATGATATCTCACACGCCTGAATCCGACTTTGCAATCAAAAGTTATGAAAGTTTTAAAAACGCGTTTTCGTATAAGGCAAACCGCAAACCAGCACAACTCAATAAGTTGCGTGCGCGACTCAGAGAGTTGCATGCGCCACCTGACGCCGCGGCTCTAAAATCCTAAAACTAGATTCCTACGCCTATAAATAGGGGTCTTCATTCAGCACTAAACACACAAAAAAATCAAAATACTAATAAACCTTAAATTCTGAAAACCCTAATCTCTCTCAAACCTTCTTAATATCATACTAGTTTTCCCTCGTTCTTCCCAACTACTCTTCAACCCTAATCCATCCATTGAAGCTCTTGAAGGTACGAAGAAGAAAGAAAGACCATAAACGCATAAGACGGAGATTTAGCATAAAAGAAGAACGGTTAGTTTCCTGAGCACTTAGATAAATCACTTTTCTTTTATTGTTTAAATAACTTTAATTGATTAATTAGTGTTGTTAGATCACTTTAAATAAACTTTTAATTAATTAATTCATATAGTACTCTTTCATTAATCAATACTAGAATTTTAATAATTAATTGTTGTTTTATCACTTAAGACAAGGCGAATATTGTTTATTTATTGTTCTTTCACGAATATTTATTAAAAAAATAACGACTTTTGCAATGTAATTCCTACATGATTAATGCGTGAAAATAAAATCAACTAACTTAGTTTTAGGTATCGCGTTTCATTTATTGTTTGGTGATGAAAGTGTGAAAAAGGAAGAGCTAGTAGAGGCCGCACTAGAGCTAGAATAGTGATTCCTCCCTAAAAGGAACGTTATTTTAATATCCTCGCTCCCGAACTCATTTCTGGTTTATGTAGACCAATTTAGGCATGGGTAAACTTACGATTTGTGCTAATTATCCCATGAACTCCACATGGGAGAAAGGCATGAACGGGGTTTATGAGTTTTCCTAAAACTCATTGGCGACTCCTTACTTGTTTCTTATAAAAAAGCGTGATGACTAGATCAATTCTAATTCAAGGTCCCCCAAACAGTTAGGAATTCAAATCCTAATACACCCTCACAAGTGTAAAGCCCTAGGCTTCTATCTCACAGACATGTTTTGTAGGAGCCTGATGTGGTGTATCGGCCATGGGCCGATCTGGATGTTCCTGCGCTGGCGCAGTACACTATCGAGGGTCACTACTTCCAGGGGACGTACGAGGCTATGGTGTACCTCGGTGAGAGAGTGGCTATCCAGCACTCCTCGGATAACTTTGCCGGCCATGCTCACCCGCCTCGACACATGTTCAACCAGGCGGTGCCGATAGACCTGTCGGAGAGGTCGCCTACTGGTACTCCTTGGCGATCTCATGCCCGTCCAGGGTAAGAATTACGATAGATGATCTAAAAGAAACGGAATAAGAAAATCAAGCAAAATACAGTCAGCATTGCCTTGTTAAGAGGGCAGTAAAACAGTCATGCAAGGAAAATTCAGCAATATTGATACAGGCTAATTTAGATTAAAAACACTAAATTTGTATTATATGTCAATACTTGAAATTATTCGCCATATGAGCTTTATTTATGCACTCATGTTTCTCGACTTTTATTTTTCAAATATCAAAGTTTTCCATAAGATAAATAAGATAAGTTTCACTAAAGTTATTAAAATTAGCATCAATGTACTACATATATGAGAGATCTGAGTACAGAGATATGAATGGCTCCAAGCTCATATTTTGTATGGATTGTCCAATTCCTACATTTTAAGAAACTAGTAGCAAAATTTGTTTCACAAGAACCAAGAACTATCAATATTTATGAATTCTAATCAGTTAGGTGGTCGAAAATTTTCCTGAGAATTTATCAGATGAAAATTATCTATAAAATAGATAAATTGAGTTTTCAAGTAGGGTGTCTCAAACTCTTTCTTTTTTTTTTTCTTTTTTTTTGACAATAGGGTGTCTCAAACTCTAGATAGGATTTAATCACAAATTTGCAACCCTAGCACAAGCAAAAATTTCTAAATAAACTCAAATTTTGGCTTAAAATTCTTCAAAAACTAACATTTCCAGTCACAAGCACTAAAATCTTCAAATTAGAAGCTTGTTCATATTCATTAATTTTGAATCCCTTAAAATAGTGATAATTAAAATTGTAAAATTTCTCATAGAAGTATTTAAAAAAAAAGACACTATAAATCATAATCAAAGATTTTACCTGAATTGAAGAGCCATACCGAATCTTTCAGCCCAGCAAATTGTTCAACAAGACACCGATTTAAGAATTATAAGCTTCAATTTATCAGCTCGAAAATATCGCAACCCATCATCTCAAATGTAGATCAACTCCTTTAATTCCAGTTTAACATGAACGAGTTTGCAACCGGAAAGTCATAAAACCCCGCCTAGTTTCATTGCAGACAATCTAATCTTTCCGGCATGATTTCCCAATGTCAGCAACATTTTAGTAGTATATATTGTTTCTTTATTGTTCATTCTCCAAAACAAATCATAATTACAAGGGATACATTGAACCATACCTTAACTTCTGAGAGGAATCAGCTCCCTGCGACAACCACCCTCCGATAGCCTCCCCTACAATGGTAGCAAGCCAAATAGGCCTGTTACGAGGATCTATCTTGAGCAGCTGGTCTCATTAACACATGCTAATATAATAGTTAGGATAAAGTCTTAGCTTCTATCATTCATCCAGCCAATAGAAAAGAGGATACTAAGCTAAGATTGGTGAGGTACTTATCAATATAAAATGGTGCAATAATTTATCTTGAGAATATTATCTTTGACTTACTATAACTGTAAAGCTTTTATCTAACAAAACTAGCTACTTCTACACGCCACTAAAACAACAATAATTCATTACTATACAATCTAAAATGCCAACCTATTAATGCTGATGCATAGCCACAATTACATGTATACTTCTCCCGTTTTATTAGTGGTCTTCATGATTTTCTTAATTAATTTTTTTATGTTCAAAATGAAATGAGGTGTATTGATAAGTTTCCGAGAATGGAACTATAAGCGAATACATTTCTGTATTATGACAAGATATTGATAATTGTTGTTAGCAAATTTTAATAATTGCACAGCATAAGCCTACCTCAAAGGGACAAACCTAGAAAATTCAACAAAAAAACACATCATAATTCATATATACACCATCAAAAGGCGGGACAAACCCAGAAAAATCAACACAAAAAACATCATAATTCATATATTCACCATCAAATTTAATCACAAAATCAATCAATTTACAAAATTAATATGACAATTTCCCAAAATCTAACTAAAATAGTATACATCAAACCTCATCCCAGCAAAAATACAACAAAAAAACAAAATTTAGGGTGAAAACCAAACTTTCAGCAACAAATTGTTGTAATATATAATATGATAATCATACATAACTTTAATAAATAATAATTATACCCATTGCTTTAATATTTACACGCACTTAACAGCCAAAAACACCTAAATTAACAACTAAAATCAATGACGAAAAACCAGAAAACCCCAATCAATCAAAAAACATTAAAAACAAAAACAAATTAAAATCACATGCAGTACAACCTCATTTGAGTAAACAATACACAACGAAAATCAACAAAAACATAATGAACTCAATAACGAAGCAGAAAATGTAGGTGAATCCGAAAACACTAGAGTCAATTAGTTAAATCTAGCTAAACCAAACAAAAAGGAAGAAGAATAGGAGGAAAAGACGAACCTTAAAATGGGGGAAAACGAAAAACTGCGCGCTCTAATAAATGTTCTTTAATCGCGACAACCACCCTCCGATAGCCTCCCCGACAAAATGGGGCTTGCGCTGCAATTTCTCATCATCATCCGACAATTAGGACGATTCCAAAATGCATGACTGCAGAAGCAGAGAGCGCATGTTGCTCTATGAAAAAATGAGGAATTTTAGAGGTTTTTTTGAAGGAAAATTGAGGTTTTTCGAAGGAAAATTGAGGTTGTTCTGTGAAAATTAGGGGTAAGTTTGATTAGGAGGAAGGAAGACTAGAAGTACTTTCTTAAAAAAATAAAATAGAATAAAGAATACAAGTAAAATGAGTGTTGTGCATAATAGCAATTGTAACTAACCTTAATAAAGTCCATTATAATTAATATAGTCAACAAATTTGACCTATTAGTTGTAACTAGCTTTTTCTATGTCCATTACTAATAGTTGGTCATTCTATCTTTGAACTACTTTTTGTAACTAATCTTGGATATGCCAGTTACTAATACTAATTTATTTGTAACCCGCACTAACAATGTCAGTTACGAATACCCTTGTAGTAACTAACACAGTTTATGCTAGTTATAAATAGAGCGTTACAAATAGTATTTTTTCTACTAGTGAAAAAAGAAAAGCAATAGCAATCATTGACCGGGGAGCGGTCAGATGACCTCCGTCCCCAGCCGGCTGGTGAGCATACTGATATTCCTCTTGACGACAATTGTCCAGAGCGAACTGTTAAGGTAGGGACGGCTGCTTTTACTTAGTTGGGCACAAGTTTGCACCAACTGTCCACAAACTCGCTACGGATCCCAAAAAGACATTTTTTCTAAGTTGGGCACAAGACATTTTTGCCTTTGAAGTGGAAGAGATGTCAGGCTTCAGCTCGGATCTTGATGTCCACAAACTCGCTGTGGATCCCAAAAAGAAGCTCATTCGGCAAAAGAAAAGAAACCATGGCGAGGAAAAAAGTCAAGTGGCAGCCGCCGAAGTTAAAAAGCCGTTAGACACTGGGTTCATTCAGCCATGTAGCTAACCTGACTGGGTTGTGAATGTTGTGCTTGTAAAGAAGCCGAATAGTACCTGGCGCATGTGTGTAGATTACACTGACTTGAACAGAACATGTCCGAAGGATAGTTATCCACTTCCAAAGATCGACAGTCTGGTCGACTCGACAGTTCAACATGCCCTGATGAGTTTTATGGACGCCTATTCAGGCTTTCATCAGATTCCCATGTGGAAAAAGGATTAAGAAAAGACGGCATTCGTCACTGATCAGGGGTTATTCTATTACAATGTGATGCCATTTGGTTTGAAGAATGTGCCTGCTACTTTCCAACGAATGATTAATACGGTCTTCATTAATCAAATTGGGATGAACGTAGAGGCATACATTGATGATATGATAGTTAAATCCAAACAACAGGCGGATCAGCTGTCTGATATCTGAGAAACATTCACCACACTCAGGCGGCACAAGGTCATGCTTAATCTAAAAAAGTGTGTCTTTGGTGTTGAGTCTGGGAAGTTTCTCGGATTCCTGATTGACCAAAGGGGGATTGAGGCCAACCCTAAAAAAATACAACCGGTAATCGACATGCAGTCGTTCTGTTCTGTAAAGGAAGTTCAACAACTAACTGGTTTTCTGGCAGCTCTGGGAAGATTTCTCAGTCGGTCAGGTGAAAAGTGCCTCTAGTTCTTTCAGGAGATCAGGAAGAAGACTAGATTTGAATCGGGGAAGGATGCTGAAGCCGCCTCCAAAAGCTGAAAACGCATCTGCACTCTTTGCCAAGGTTGGTCAGTCCCTTGCCCAAAGAAGTGCTCTATATGTATTTGGCAGTTTCAGATCATGCCCTCAGTACTGTACTCTTAGCTGAAAGAGACGACATCCAGCTCTCGGTCTACTTTATTAGCCACATCCTCAGAAACGCAGAGCTTCGGTACCCCATGGTTGAAAATTTTGGTCTCACCCTTTACATGGCTGTCAAGAAGTTGAAACCATACTTCTTGGCGCATCCGGTTACGGTCTATACTGACCAACCGATCAAGTGGCCAATGACAACCCTGGAATCTTCTGGACGAATGCTCAAATGGGCTATTGAACTACAGGGACTGGAAATCGCTTTCGAACCAAGGAAGGCAATAAAGGAGCAAGCATTCGTCGACTTTATTGTTTAAATGACAAGGCCGGCTAAGCCGGATCATATCAATTAGGTTTGGAAGGTGTATGTGGACGGGAGCTCCACGATGAACGGCTGTGGTGCAGGCGTAATTTGTTAGTCTCCTGAGGGAGACAAATATGAATATGCGCTACGTTTCATGTTCCAGGCCTTAAATAATGAGGCCGATTACGAAGCCTTGTTAGTCGGCATTCGGATGTGCAAGGCGGTAGGGGCAACAAGAATTGACGCCTGCTCTAACTCCCAATTGGTAGTAAGCTAATACAATGGTGTCTATGAAGCCACCCATCCGGCTATGATCAAATATTTGCAGAAGGTCAAGGCTGAAGCTGGGACACTTAAATACTTTAAGTTAAGTCAAGTGCCTAGATCAAAGAATAATCAGGCGGATGCTCTGTCCAAACTGGCCTCATTCGCCTCCTGTAAAACGCCTCGGTCAATATTCTAGGAAGTCAAGGAAAAAGAGAAGTATATCTAATGAAGACCCCATTAGAGTACTTGACCGAAGCTCCACCTGGATGGATAACATCCGGGCGTATCTGACAGACGGCACCCTCCCGAATTTCACCCCAGGAGGCGGTCGTGCTGAAAAAACGAGCTGCAAACTTAAGATAAAGCAAGGAGAGCTCTTCAAAGCAGGTGTCATGAAGCCTCTTTTGAAGTGTATGACCTAGAAAAGGGGCAAGAAATCCTCGAAGAATTACATGCCGGATTCTGCGCCTCTCATGTAGGCGACAGGTCTTTAGCTGTTAGGGCCAGGCGACATTACTTCTGGCCGACCCTAGAGTCGGATGGTATGGAAATGGTAAAAAAAAAATGTGACAAGTGTCAAAATTTTGGCAAGTTGATCCATCGTCCAACCACTGACCTGATGACCATCCATAGTCCTGTGCCATTTGCTAAATGGGTCATGGACATCTTGGGTCCATATACGACTGCTCCAGGAGGCAAGCGCTACATCTTAGTGGCTATGGATTACTTTACCAAATGGGTAGAGGCAGAGGCGGTCAAAAATATCAAGACTAAGGACGTGATTTCCTTCATCTACAAGAACATCATACTCGTTTTGGGGTGCCTATGTCTATGGTTTTTGACATTGGTCCTCAGTTTGAGACCCCTCACTTGAAGACTTGGTTAGGAGATCAGGGGATCTCCAATTACTTTGCATCAGTCGGCCGATTCCAACTCCCCAAGCAAATGGCCAAGTTGAAGCCTTCAACAAGTTAATCTCAGACGGCATTAAAAGAAAGTTGAGAGAGATGGCGGCCAATGGGCGGATGAATTACCACACGTCCTGTGGGCCATCAGAACAACTGCAAAAGGGGCGACTGGAGAGACCCCATTCCTTATGGCGTATGGGGCAGAAGTTGTCTTGCCCATTGAACACTATGAGCCGACTCTTCGCATTAATTATGCTATATGATGAAGAGGCAAACTAGGAGGCCATGCGCCTGACATTGGATTCATTCCCAGAATGCAGGGGCAATGCTGCCTTACGTCATGAAATCTACCGTCTGAAAATGACTCGAGCATACAACAAAAGAGTACACAAGCGCCCTTTAAAAGTTGGGGACTTTGTGTGAAGAAAATGGAGGCAGTCGGTAGGGCGAATGAACAAGAGAAACTAACCCCAAATTGGGAAGGCCCCTATCGAATCTATGAAGAAGTAAGAGGAGGCACCTACCGCCTGGAAACACCAGACGGTAGAAGGCTGCCCCAAACCTGGAATGTAGATAATCTAAAGAAGTATTACTTCTGAAATTTTGTAAAGTTTTTTGACTTGTTAATGAAATTTTGCCTTCATTTTCGTACTTGTCTTTATTTACTTTATTTTGAGCACCGGATGCACACAGTGCAGAATAACCAGCTCATAACAATGAAGGATGTCGTCTGTGTTGGTGGATCCTACATACCCATTATGGTACCAACTGCACAATGTGTAGGCGGACCAAAATCTTTAAAAAGAAACATTGGGGTACCGCCTGTATGATATCTAGGCGGCCAACACTGAGACTCTGCGAGCTACCACCTGCCCAATGGGCAGACGGCTAAGAACATTGTTAATCTAAATATAATTTTGGGATCGTCTGCTCCAACAGAAGACGCCCAAAAGATAATCCGACTGCACCAAACTTATGATTAAGCTAAGTTAATAATTTAGTAGCTAACTGTAGGCGTCGTTCGAATTGCGCCTACGTTAGAAGCATGTGTGAATATGCTTGGCACCCTTAGGAAGTGGGAATTGACAAAATACGATTAGGGACAAGGAAAGTAGGGAGCCGCCAACAAGTTTTTAAGGAACTTGTAAACCATTCACGGATCATTTAAGGCAACCACGAATAAAGGGACAACGATAGGCAACAACGATTGACCCGTGAAGGTTACACCTCATTCATAATCCATGAGATTACTAACTCCATATGGTTCGGAACCACGAAAGGAGGATCGGGAATGATGGTACGAAGTGAGTCATGGAGTCACATCCGCCCGTATTGGCCTCTACTCGATTCTTATAGTGAAAAGTGATTCCTGCGATCTCAAAGGCATACAAACAAAATATTCAATTTTCTCCAAACTATTATTTAGCTAAATTGGTTGAATATTAATGCAACACATAATTCTAAAATATTTGTGATCACTTGATTTAAACAACAAGATTAAAAAGGAACCTAAACCGGTCGTCCAAATTATCTTATTAGGCGTGATTTTCAATTACATATTCCCTTTAAACATGCAATGTGGTGATCATAAAAATAATAGAATAAACATTAATATTTGAAGAAATTTAACAATAATTCTAACAACACAAAATCGTTAGAAAAATAATAGAAATAAAAGGAACATAATTCTTACTTTGATTCTGTTTGTTTGCAACTACAAAACAATAAACGAATTAGTAACTTCAAGGAAATAATAATAAAACAATAATTAAATTAAATAGAATTGATTTGGGGCCAAACCCTCAAACAGTTCTACCTTTCACGCCTTGGCTTAAGGACAGAATCGCGAGTAAAGTATGGACTCCTAGGAGTGCTTGAAGAAGGAATTTTGAAAGAAGAAGGGTAGGCTAGTGTTTAGGCTATAGAATATAAGAGAGAAAAATAGAGAATTAATTCATGCCCCATACATCAGAAATGAGGGGTAATTTATAGAAAAAATGTGCTGAGGGAACACACGGAACCCTAAAATGATAAAAACCCTAAAAGAGTATACACTGACATGGCAAAGTGTACCGTGACACGGGAAATCCCACCGTCAGACGGGAAACATTCCCGTGACACGATGTACTTTTGTGTGATGCGGGAAATATATGCTGAACGGGAAAGAAAACACGTTAAGGGTTTACGCGAAAAGGACACGGAAACCCCCGTGTCACGGCAGGTGTCCCGTGTCACGGGGAACCCCATTGTCAGACGGGAAAGTTTCCTGTGACACGGTGGACTGTTGCCGTGACGCGGGAGTTTTCAGTCCGCTTTTCCGTCTAAATTCATTTTTAATCCTAATTTCGTTCAGCATTTTAAATGCCGATTGATAATTTCAGGCCTTTTCTTATTTATTATTATTTGGGCCAAAATAAGAATTAAGTAAATAAAAATAAATAAAAAGTTTGGGCCAAAATAAATAATAATAATAAAAAAGTAAAATAAGTTTGGGCTGAAATTAAAACTATGCTTTGACCAAACATCAAGACTGACCCATGGACTATTCAAAAATTGAATTAAATATGATTTTTTTAAAGCACTCTAGGGATTAAATACTGAACCCGACCAATAGTGGCGGTGAAAGGTTGTTCATCATCGGGTTTGGTTTTGGGGAGACATTTTTAGGTGTCTACACTAACGTCTAAGTGACAAAGAGGCCAATGGCCGGATGATAAACTAAGTTAATAATTTAGTCATATTTTATCCTAAGCTAAGTCAATGATACTTAGTGGCTAACCAATTCTGTATAGGATAGCTCCCGCTGAACTATCGCCCAGCCCCTAGGGTGCGCACTCATTGCCAAGAAAGTAATTAAGGAGGGCTCATCAGCCCGGTGGAGTCAGCCTGCAGGGCTACCAGGCTGAACTCTCCACGAAGGAGATGGTACGCCTATAAATAGAGGGTAAAGTACAACGGAAAAGGGGTTAGACACTCAAGTTATTATACTTTCTACATCTCTCTAAGTACACTTTCTCTCTCTAAACACTCTCTAGCTTAAGCTTCGGAGGGGGGTTCCTCGAGCCACCCCCGAGGGCAGTTTACGTGTGCTGCCTTGTGTAGGTTGTTGACGGGACCCAGCTCACCCAGCAGAACCCTTGGATCCATACCTGGAACAATTGGCGCTAGAAGGAGGGGAAGGATCACCTAACGTGAGGTTCACCAACCGAGCTAGGGACCAGTTAACTAACCACCATGGCCGGAGAAGAAACTGTACCGACACCCATGTCCAAAGCTAATGAGACCAACCAAACACCACAAAAAACCCCTCAGTAACCCTCGATCCAAAAGGATCCACCGAAAATTCCAAATCGACCATCTCTCAGAAATCCAACCCCATTGGATCAACATCGGCCGCAGCTAAAGCGGCGTCGAAACCAGTCGATCCGGCAGGATCCAGTTCCATTTTCAAATACGGAATGCCGTTAATAGGCGCGAACAATGAGCTCATTGTTTCAGCACTAGTAACCCAGAACCCGCAGCCCGTAAATATGCCAGCTGTAGGGAATAATTTCAAGCCTTTAAAATCCCACTAGCTTGAACCCCACTGTGATCATACACTAAAGTACGGTGGCGTCCAAAAGGGAAGAAGATAGAACAAAAGAGTCGCCAACAAGTTTTTAAGGAACTTGTAAACCGTTCACGAGGTGAAGGTTACACCCCTTAACGATCCAAGAGATCGTCAACTCCATAAGGTCATGAACCAAATAAGGGTTCGGGGATGATGGTACAAATCCAACCTAAAAGAGATTGAACCTGCCCTAATAATAGGCCTCTACTTTATTCTGCTCGTATTCATGTGCGCTTTCTGACTAACATACAATCAATAGGATTAACCCTAAACCTGTTTAATCTATGTTGGTTGAATATTAATGCACAAATAAACTATTATTGGCGATCACTTGAATTTATAATCACAATTAACCCTAAAAAGATTATTAATTATCTTATTAAGCGTGATTGCAAATACCAATTCCCTTTAACCTGCAATAAAAGGTGATCAAGCAATAACAATATAAAATATATATCAAGCAACATGATAAATAATAATAAACATTAGAAAGAACATAGGAAGCATCATACTTTTAATCATGCTTGATATTAAAAACACCCTAGACATGATACTAGGAATCAAAATAACAATATAAACATGATGTCTACATCATAAAATCAATAAATCAATAAAGTACTTACTTGGATGCCTCGTACCTCTTTCTAATTACAAAATACACACGTTAGTAACTTCAAGGAAAATAATAATCAAAACAATTAAATTAAATAATTGAAAGAGAGATTTGGGACCAAACCCTCAGAAATTAAAACCTTTCACGTCTAGGGCGAAGGCAACTTCGAATATGGCTAGGTGTATCAAGATCTTGTGAATGCGGAATTTTGTATTAAAAAGCAAAATAGAAAAGAATACTAAAGAATCAATGTTATTGATGATTGATGAACGAAAGATGATGAATGAAGAGAATTGATGAGAATTGGAAAATTGATGAGAATTGATTAATAGATGTAGATGATGAAGATAGTTGATAATTGGTGAATCAAAAAGGAATTTTTGATATGATATTTATGGAGAAAATCAGCCAAAAAAGATAATTTATCAAAACAGAGTCTGAAGACCACAGAACCACCTTGGCGCCAGCCCTGGCTCATTGGCGCCAGGACCAGTGGCTAGCGCCAGGCGCCAATGGGTGGCGTCTGGCGCCAATCCTGGTTCCAGGCGCCAAGGCCTGGGGTTGGACGCCAAACCGGCTTTTAACGCGTTTTCGAAATTCTGATAAAATTCCCGTACTGGAAGATAAAATAATATAATTTCAGTCGAGAATGCTATTTGATCTAATTAAAACTCTAAAGGATCCTAATTGAATTAAGAATGATAAGAACCTTCTAGAATGTTCTAGAAGACCAAAACCATTCCTAATTACATTAGGAATGATAAATCATATTAGGCCCTCCCCTAGATCATTGGGCCGTACTTAAAACTCAAACCGGGCCCAGTTTAGTAAATTGGCCATAAATTCCTCAATATTCATCGGAATTGGGCTTATAATATATCGTTGGAAAGGTCTTTGCAAGCCCCATCCAACTACACTACTATTGGACCCATATCATGGACCAACCAAACTGGATTGGCTGTTTTCTTAAAATAAAGTTTTCAAAAACAGAGAGAAGAGAAAAGAAAAGAAATAAAACTTTCCGCAACACTAGACCTTTCCACACTTTCGTTTCATTCGATTATGATTCGACGTGAAAGGTACTCATCACTGGGTTTGGTTTTGAGGAGACACAAATGGGTGTCTACACCAGCCATCCTGCAGAACCTCTCTAAGTGCAGTAAGGAGCAGCTGGCAGCAATGACGGCGGTCCTTACCAATATGGGTAAGGGGGCAAATCCGTCACCGACAACGGCAGCTGCGAAGCCCGCAACAAAGAAGCCGGCTTCCTCAGCCGTCATCCCTGAGCAAAAGGAGCTCATTCAGCTGAGGAAGAGGGTATTAGAGTTGGAAGCTCGTAATCTGAATCGAGAATGGAGCGTGGAGGAAATAACTCCGGCTCAGGTCAGCCCAGAGAAGCAGGTCCCCCGCAGCAGGTCACCAGCCACAGAGCGGGGACCCAGCCCAAAAAGAGACAAACGAGCACGAATCCAGGTTGTTCCAGATGATTCCCCATTTTGCCGAGAGATTCTGGAAGAACCAATGGAGAAGATAAAGATATCGAGCTGCAGATATAATGGAACCACAACACCCAAAAGTCACATATCAGCTTTTGAGAACCACATGGTACTTTATACTATGACGGACTCAGTCTGGTGTAAGGCGTTCCCGCCGACCCTGGAGGGGCTGGCAGCGGAGTGGCATGGAGCTATTCCTAAATGTTCCGTATACTCGTATAACCAGCTGAAGAGAATGTTCAAGAGCATTTCATAACCCTGGTAGACCGAACTAAAATGACAACCGAGCTGATGTCATTAGTTCAAGGGAAAGACGAGCCCATGAGGGAGTTTATCACCAGATTCAACAAAGAGGCAACAACCATCCCAAATATGAGTCAAGAGGTAGCACAAATAGCAATGCAGAGTGGCTTACTACCAGGCTCACCATTCAGAGCGTATATGGGGCGTAAGAGTCTCCAAACACTTGCTAAAGCGCTAGGTAAAGCGCACGAGTTCATCAAAGCAGACGAGACTAACAGAGCCATGCTGAGTAGGAAGGCACCAAGTGACTCAGTTAAGCGGGTAGAGGTCACCCGGGCAGAGAACACACCTAGGGATGACCAGCCGAGCAGGGCCGAGTAAAGACGCAGAGAAGCGGACAGAGCAGTGGGGGTGAGAAGGTCAGATCCAAAGAGAGGGCCAAGGCCTGGGAGGTTCGACCAATATACCCCACTAACTCACTCAAGGTCTCATATATTCAGCGTGAATAAAGCTGATGATAAGTGGCAGAGACACACAAGGATGGTTAATAGGAACCGTGATACCAGCAAGTGGTGTGACTTCCATAGAGACCATGGCCACACCACCGAGGAATGCACACACTTGAAGGATAACATAGAAGATTCAGTCAGGAGAATCAGTTTAAGCAGCGCGATGACCCTTCCAGAAGGAGGGATGAGGATAGAGCAGGTCGCGCTGACCGCAGAGGAGGTCATAGGGGTCCCGCTGGAGACCGAGACAAAGATGGCTAGCCAGAAGGCAGGGTATATGTGATCAATGGGGGTCCAGTGCATGGAGGAACAGTTAACAGAGCACGGGCCGACCTGCGGGCGATGATACATCAGATAAACGACAATGAGAAGCGTAGATGGCCACCTCTTCCCCCGCAACCACGAGCCACGTTTGACGAGTATGACCAGAAGGGCAAATTTACCCTCATGATGATACACTGGTAGTGACAATGAGAATTGCAAACTGGGAAGTGGATAGGATATTGATAGATGGAGGCAGCTCAGCCAACATCATATACATCAGCGCGTTTAACGAGCTGAAGTTGGACAAGAAGGATCTGCAGAGGGTGAGTTACGAAGTCACCGGGTTTAATGGATCGGGACTAACCCCGGAAGGTATAATCGAGCTCTCAGTCCGGGTGGGTGAGAGATCAAGAAGGCGTGATGTTCGAGTAGAATTCCTTGTGATAAACTCCCCTTCACCCTACAATGTGATCATGGGAAGACCACTCATCCACAAGATAGGCGGAGTGGTATCCACCTATCACCTTGCCATGGCCTACACAACTAATGAGGGATGGTCAGCAAAGCTTAGGGGAAGTCAGAAGACAGCTCAACAATGTTACATAACTGCCCTAAAGTAGCCCGCAAAAACCAGATAGCAGCCTGGCTCAGAGAGAAGGCCCCCTGAGCAGGCTGAGAGGAAGTTAAGGAAAAGGAAGCATGAAGAATATCGCAGGGAAAAGGATAAACAGAAGTTAGCAATGGAAAACTTCAAGCCTGCAAAAGAGGAGATGGCTAGACCACTTCCCAGTGGGGAGCATGTCATGGTCGAGCTCACAGAAGGTGACCCCTCAAGAACGGTGAAAATTGGGAAAGACATTGATCTAGGAGTAGGGGTACACCTCGTAGAGTTGCTGAGGAAAATCAAGGATATTTTCGCATTTTCCGTAGATGAGATGCCCGAAATTGACCCTACATTCATGGTACACAGGCTGAATGTGAAGGAGGATATTAAGCCATTTAGGCAGAAAATACGAAGCTTCTCCACGGAGAAAAATCAAGCAATCCAAGAGGAGGTGGAGAAACTCTTGGAGGCAGGATTCATTGAACCTTGTGACTACCTAGAGTGGTTAGCCAACGTGGTCATGGTAAAGAAAGCAAATGGCAAGTGGAGAATGTGTGTTGATTTCACAGATCTCAATAAGGCATGCCCAAAAGACTGTTACCCGCTGCCACGGATCGATCAGCTGGTAGCTCAACCAGCGGGCACGCCTTGCTAAGCTTCATGGAAGCCTTCTTAGGGTACCATCAGATAAACCTGCATGAACCAGACCGGCTGAAAACCGCATTCATCACCAAAGGGGGAGTGTACAATTACATAGCTATGCCCTTCGGGCCGAAGAATACTGGGGCAACCTTTCAAAAGGCAATGGATAGGGTATTCCTACACCAAAAGGGCAGAAATGTTGAAGTATACGTTGACGACTCAATTGTTAAGAGTGTCATGCAGGCAGGGCATATCATGGATCTGAAAGAAACATTTGCCACCCTAAACAAGTATAAAATCAAACTCAACCCGAAGAAATGTGTCTTTGGAGTGAGTTTAGGAAAGTTCTTAGGTATTCCGATCAGCGATAGAGGGATAGACGCAAATCCAAAAATGGTCGAAGCAGTCCTAAGCGCATCAAGGATATCATGCGGTTGACGGGCAGAGTGGCCGCGCTGGCCAGGTTCATCAGCAAGTCAGCGGATAAGGTTCTGTTGTTCTATCAGCTATTGAAAGGGAACAGAGAATTTAAGTGGGGAACCAAAGAAAAAGAAGCCTTTGAGGGTATTAAGGAGCATCTGACTAAGCTCCCAACAATGATCAGCCCGGAGTTGAGGGAAAAGTTGCCACTGTACATCTCTGCGTCAATACAGACAATCGCAGCCGTTCTGCTGGTAGAAAGACAAAAGCAGCAGAGTCCAATATACTTCGTGAGCCATGTACTGATTGAGGCAGAACAAAGGTACCCATTGGTTGAGAAGCTGGTCTTCGCAGTGGTCACCACAACAAGGAAGTTAAAACCATATTTTGACGAGCATGTAATACAAATCCTCACAAATCACCCACTGGAAAAAGCGTTACAGAAAAGGGATGCATCAGGATGACTCCTAAAGTGGGCAATTGAACTTTCTAAGTACGAATTCGAGGACAAACCTAGGATAGCCATCAAGGCACAAGCCTTAGCGGACTTCATAGTGGAAGCCTCCTATGAGGAGAAAGAGGATGATATTGGGGTCTGGAAGGTGGAAGTAGATGGATCCTCAGTCCAAACGGGAAGTGGAGCAGGAGTCATAATAACATCCCCATAGGGACATGTATTCGAGTACGCCATAAAGTTCAAGTTCAAAGTATCAAACAATGAAGCAGAGTACGAAGCAGCGCTGGCATGCCTGCGTATGAGCATCGTAGCGGGAGCCCGCAAAGTACATCTGCAAACTGATTCTCAGCTTGTCGCCAGCCAATTGCAAGGAGCGTACGAGATTAGAGAAGCCGCCATACTGAAATATGTAACTAAAGTAAAAGAGCTGGCAGCTCAGCTAGTCCACTTTTAGATAGACTTAGTTCCTAGAGCAGGAAATTCCTAGGCTGACGCTTTATCTAAGTTAGCCAGTTCCACATTACAAAGCCTCACAAGGATAGTGATGGTTGAAGTCCTAGAGGAAAGTAGTATTACCGAAAAGGAGCAGGTAAACTGCATTGAACAGCAGAGGGCCTGGTTTTCAGACATTCTGGCATACAAAGTTCATGGCTCGCTGCCCGATGACGAAGTACAAGCTAAGAAGGTGAAGAAGGACGCCAATTGGTATGTGGTGATGAATGGGGAGCTCAACAAGAAAGGCTTCTCAAAACCACTGCTGAGGTGCATCCCAGAGTGGGAGCAGGAAGGCATTATGGAAGAAGCCCACTCGGGAATATGTGCTAACCACATTGGTGGAAAGGCAGTGAGAGTAGAAGTCCTCAGAAGGAGTGCATACTAGCCAACTCTCACGCAGGAAGCGCTAGCATATGTAAAAAAATGCAACAAGTGTCAAAAGTATTCACCAGTTATAAACCAACCAGCAAATGATCTAACTCCAATCCTCAGCCCGATCCCGTTTGCTTAGTGGGGAATGGACATATTGGGACTCTTCACCATTGGGTCAGCGGGCAGGAAGTATCTCATCGTGTAGTAGATTACTTTACAAAGTGGATAGAAGTTGAACCCACTAAGTACATAAAGGTAGTCCAAGTAAGGACATTCATATGGAAAAACATCAACACAAGATTCGGTGTGCCACAGTGCATAGTCTTTAATCATGGATGTCAGTTCGACTGTGACACCATCAAGGACTACCTAGAGGACATGGGCACCAAGTATGCAAGTGCCTCAGTCTGCCACCCGCAGAGTAATGGCCAGGCAGAAGCAACAAACAAGCTGATCCTAACAGCCTTGCAAAGGAAGCTGGAGGAATACAAAGGCCTATGGGTAGACCTAGTCCCAGAGGTCCTGTGGGCAAAAAGAACCACTGAGAAGGAGTCCACTGGTAAAAGCCCTTTCACCCTGGCCTATGGGGCTGATGCAGTCGTCCTAGTGGAAGTGCAAATTCCCAGCCTGAGGATACAACACTATGAGCAACAAGGAAACGAAAAACGCGTGCGGGAAGAGGGTCAGGCATAGAGAGCTCTCAAGCTGGCAGCCCATAAGAGCATAATTTCAAAAGCTTTCAACAAGAGGGTCAGGCATAGAGAGCTCCTCCCCGGATATTTAGTCCATAAAAGGACAACAGCAGTGGGAAGAGGAAATCAGCGTGGAAAGTTGTCAGAAAACTGGGAAGGCCCTTTCATTATTCACGAGCAGGTTGGACTGGGAGCATTCCTCCTTGCAGATCAAGAAGGTCAGGTCTTAAGAAACAGTCTCAATGCTAATGTGTTAAAGAAATATTTTGTTTAAATAGCCTAAAAAAACAAATATAGTTGTTTCAAGTTTGATAAACCTTTATTCAGTTCATGTTATGTTAATTAAGGCATTTGAGCCATTTTTATTCAATGAAATACAAGCCTCTGCGTGAGGAGTATGTTGCGTAAATCTGTTTAATATGTAATGCCCCAGCATCATATGTTAATGTGCAGAAGTCAAACAAAAATAATTATAAAGTGTTAGGGACAAGAAACACTTAGCACATAGTGGCAAAGTACCGTTAAAACGACAAGTTAAAGCATCCCTCCCTAAAACCTCACCTCACCTGCTCAAAGAAAAACAGGGCACCACCTCGGGGACGCCTGAAGGGGAGGCCTGACACGTTCAGCTTGAGCAGGAGAAAAAAGGGGAAATGAAGAAGATGAGCTACGTGGGCAACACTGAGGTTCTCTTAGTCCCACTTAGCCCACCTCTTTGAGGGGGAGAGGAAAGGAGGAGACAGACATTCAGTAAGCCCTTACGAAAAGAAGTAAGCAGGCACAAAATGACAAGTCGCAGCATAAACAAGCTGAACGACATAAACAAGTCACAACATAAACAAGCTGAATGACATAAATAAGTCATAGCAAAACAAGATGAATGACATAAAGGGAGCAGGTAAAAAAGCTGATCGACACAAATAAGTCTTAGCAGGGCAGATTAAATAACGCGCAATCGAATATACTAATTAGCATGCAAACCAGTCTCTATAAAAATCAAGTAGAGTACATAATGCACAAGCATCCAAAGCAATCAGGACAGGAAGAACAAAGCTCACCTGAGCTCCTGCTAAGCACAACAAGGAGAAAGAGAGAAAAAGAGCCCTCAACAACCAAATCAGGAAATCAGTGAAGCCTAACCTACGAGGTTTCACCAAATACAACAAAGAGACTGCTGTACTAAGGTCTAGTTACTGCTACACCTTGTCCCAGCAGCAATTCCGGACAAATACGTAGACTATGAAATAATCAGAAGGTAAAATAACAGAAACATTCAGCAAGATAAATCATCATAGTCACAAAGCTGAACCCCTGCCCACCAAGGCAGAGTAAACATCCAACAAGTTAATTACAACATATGCAACACTGAGCCCTCGTCTACCAAGACAAGGAAACACTCAATGAATATAGTTGGAAAAATATAAAGTTAAGTCAAGCTGGACAAGTCCAGCAACAAAGGATAAAATGTTCAGCAGAAACACATAGAAATATAATCTTTGGCGGCTATACACCCCAAAGATAGCAACAAAAACTACTTGGTTACTACAGATCTAGGTGAGGGGAGCTCAGAAGAACCACTGGAGTAGGAGGGTGACAACCACCATAGCCTTTATTGGTCACCAGCCAAAGACTCCACTCCAATAGCCACAACAACATCAGGGCAGAGAGGAACCTCCAAGTTCAGAACAGCGTGGTTAAGAACCTTGCAGCTAATAACACGAGGATGATTAGCAGGGAAATCAAATGCGCCAGGCTCTCCCGCAACCTCAACCTTAGCCCAAAAAGCGTCGAAACGAGCTTGCTGCTCCTCACCCTCACCATATAAGCTGCTTACGCACCGAGCTGCAGCCTCCCATCAACCATCATGGCGATTAGCCAGCAACTTAGCAAAAGCAGGGGAGAGCACGAAGGCTTTGAGTGCCTCCTTCCTGGCAGCTT